ATCACAGTTGTTTATTTGCAAATCATCCTTCCTTGCACCAAGCCTATCTCATTTCTCTGCCTCCAGCTGCACCCCATGAATCCTCTGGCATTTTAGGAGCCCAGGAGCTGTTATGGCTTGCCTTCAGTGCACCTTTGTAATCTGGTGTCATATCTTGTTTGCCATGTGGTTTTTGTTTCATCAGGAAGTTCTAGTGCACATCCTCTCTGCAAAGTTTTAATTTAGTCCTTTGTCAGACAAATCTCATATGGTGACTAATGCAGGAAGAAAGATTGGGTAAAAGTCAAATAATGTCTCAAAGATTTGGCCCCAAATAATACTAAATATAAATGCAAATAGGAAAGGTTGACTGGGAGAGAAGAAGTTCTGGCTTGCATACAGCTTTTCTTCAGAGATAAATAAATTCAGAACATTTTTAGATACAGGCTGAATAGAATATAATGCTGTATTTGTCCTCAGCTTTTATCACAACTGAGAAGAGTGAAAAATTGCCTCATCTGTAAGGGCTTGGAATATAATGAGCAAGAATGAGCTTCTCTGTCAGTCCTAATAGCTTTCCCTCTGAGCAGATAGCTGCAGTGGGGGAGATGTCACTTCTTTCTGCGGTAACCAAATAGCACTGGCAAATCACGGGTTTGCCACTGCAACTCAGCTGGCTGGTAAGAAATACAGACCCCTTCCAGGGGATGCTCTGGAGCATCAGTTACAGGCACATAAACACAGCTACAGATGCACATAAAGAAAGGCACATGTATAAATGCATACAGAGAAGAGAAAAAGGCAGAAAACATGTATCCTAAAAACTGTTGCACTCCATCATTTTAAATATATGACATAAAACTTAATTTCAACTAAACTTTGCATAGAGTAACGCCAAAATTGCTTAAAATATCTCTCTATGCTACATCGATACATACATCTAAAATACTGAACATATATGTAAAAACTATATATTCACATATGGACCATATATATATATTAACAAATTCATTTGGAGCAGCACTGAAGAGGTTAATTTCCTAAGACCCCAAGGTTTATTTTACATCTAAATTGAAAGAACGGTAGTTCATGTTCTTACATACCACTAGATGGTGACTTGTGTAATGAGTTGTTGACTTTTATCATACAGTACATTTCTTTTTTTATTGGAACAAAATAGAATCACAGTATTACTGAAACAGAATCAAAACATTACTGTCTGCACTGTTAATAATTTACCATGAAGTATATCTCCATAAACATCCTGCTGGTTTTAGGGAAGTCTAAGGCAAAGCTGTGGAAAGAAAAGGTGAACATGGCTCCTACTAAACTGTATTCGGGATTTTTAATATCTTTGTACAAAATTTTGTTTTGTTAATAGGAGCTGCAGGATGTCATGTACAAATGATTAGGCTACAATTCAGATGTCTCCTGAGATAAAAAAGCATCCAATTACAATTATGTAATGCCATGTGCATCAGCTTGTATAAACAGTAAGCTTTCACACATCAAGCAAAACTGCCTCCCCCCATGAGTGTTGTGTTCCCACTCAGAGCAACCTCTCATTTTAGCTATCTGCTATTAAAAGGCTACTTCAGAATCATACTTGGCACCTTTCCCTACAAGGCTGCAGCTACCACATCAAACAAAAGCGCTTTGTTTGGCAGCTGTAGTCTCGTTCTTCAGCTGGGCAGGGGATCAGAGTCTTATCAATAACAGGCTGTACCAAAGACTCACTCACCGCTTTCGTCCAGTGACACTTGTTGCTATTAATACCCTTCATCTGGCATAAATGAGGACAACCCTTAGCCTCAGATAAGTGGTGAAAGTTCAATGATATCTATTCACTGAACAAAGAAAAGTAATATTTCTCTCTTTCCCCTTAATGCAACATTGAGAGGGGAAGTTTTTCGGTCCTGAATTGTTTTTTTTCTATTGCATATTTTACAAAGCTTCCTACAAGGAGGGAACCTGTATCAGTTTTTTAGCCCAGGCTGCCAATCTCTGTCAACAGCAATGCAAATAATAGCAATAGTAATTCACTGCAATAAGAGCCAGCTTCCTGTAGTTTGGTTTTTAACCATTTAACAGTTAAATAATGTATAAATCACAGTCATTTAACAGACTGTGATTTATACATTATGGCTTTCAAAATAACTGAAGAATGAGATTGTCTTGAAGACCTTGGATCCTGAAAATCAGACTCCTTTAAGGACTGGAAAATCCACAAACATGAATCATTTTTGGCCTATACAAGGGACCCCTTTTCTGTATGTGATTAGTGAACGGTTTGTAACGGCTATTCTTGTAATTTGTAGCTGGATTGAGAGTAGGTATCCCCTTGCTTGCTGTCCTGATGGATGACTGCACTACACAGATCTTGTTACCGCCACCAAATCAAATTTTCTTTTCTCATCAAGCAAACTCCAACCTGTGAACTAGCAGTTGTTTTCTGTGAGCATTTACACAAGCTAACATTTTTTTGTGCAAAGGGAAAGACAAACCAGATCTTGGCTGAAACAAAATGTGCTTGAAGAACCACAAAGGCATCTCAACATCCTTCTGGACTTTACCTACCTCCACTATTGATTGATCTGTTATAGCAAGGCCTTGTGCATGGCTGGACTCCAAGCATTTCTGGTACAGTGTTTATTAATGCCTTGCCAAGATGAAACATTTCTGAAACAAGATTAGCATCAGTATTTACAAGCAGAGGGTTAGCCCTAGAAATAGCTCAATCAAAAGATGTCAGAGCACGCAGATATTCATGGGAAATTATTTGCAAGGGACACATTCTCCCTTCCCCAGTTGTGCTTAATGTTTTCTTCCTACCATCAGATTCACTCTCCAGCTCAAAGCTTAAATGAGGAAAATACATAATTGCTTCCTAGAGTACAACTCTGTTTATTTTTTGCTACCTCTCTGCTTGCAAAACTGCCTATTGATTTCTTAACGTGTGTATTTCTGTCCTAATGACTAATGACTAAGCCTTAAGCTGTGCCAACCCTGGAAAAACAGGTTGTGTCTGTGTCACACTGAAATGGACATTAAGAGGAATTAAATTTTTTCTTTTTTAATTAATTGAAATAACTTCTGATCGTGTCTTGCTATGCTGAGACTGCATTTGCGTCCAGCTCTGTGGGGAAAAAAGGGATGGGAAAAGTCCTGGGAGAGCAGAAGCTTTAGAGACACATGGAATTTATGCTGAGTCCATAAACGAATGGTCCAAGACTATTTATATTCCTTGGAATATCCTAAATATGAACGTGGTTTTTAAATCTAGCTTTCTACCCTGACATGGTGTGTGTTTGAGAGATCCAACAGTTTTTCATTTTTCATTCTGAGAAAACAACAACCAATATCCTGGCTTTCAGAATGGGTATACAGGCAAGCCTTGTAAATGCAATGTAGTTAATTTGCAGTGTCCCTCTGGGAGCCTGGTGACACTGAACCTTCAATGTGACCAAAACTGGCCTCAGTCAGGGTGCATTTCTTTTGAAGCAAGCACAGGAAAAGCAATTACAAAACCAACCCCAACCTCAACCCAAAAACAAGTAGAAATCTTGGATAAGGGGAAAGCAAAAATAAAATGGTGACTACTCCTTATCTGGTTTGAAACAAGAGCTTTTTCCAGTCCCTAATCTATATTCTACCTCTCTTTTCACTACAGGTTGTCAGATGAATTTTGAAATGCAAGTGAAAAATTGGTAGTTTAAAAAATTGCTCCCATTACACTATTTTAGAGGGTTATAATCTAGTCAAAAAATATGTGCTAAATCTAGCTTGCTTTTACTAGCTAAAGGGATTTTTGAAGAGTGATATGCTGAAGCAAACTATAGTGCACATCCCTGTAACCAGTATCAGCTGAAGAGTTAATCCTTATAGAAAATATGCATAACATTGACTAGAGCTCATGTGATTTTCTGTTTTTCTGTTGAATAAAGTATCTGGGAACAATGAATGTGATACATTGCTGCTACTAATGCTGTAGCCTGTCCCTTTGTTTAATTACTGCAATTAATCTTAATCTGTCTTTGTTTGGCAACAGCTAGGTTAGGAAGAACCAGCTGAATGCTTTTCAAAGAGACTGCTGTTTTGATCACTAAGCTCACGGTCTTTTCTTTGGCAGATGAAAATATTCAGCATTTTATTGCAATCCAAGTATATGCTGTATGGTTCTCCAAAATACAATTGTGTATTACTAAGAGAGTAGGAAAAATATTTGCTACAAAGGGATTTTTTTTTGGTGTACACAGTAGAAAAATGAAATTCAGTGTGTCGAGAACATTTTGCCCTGTTCTGTCTATAAAAATGACACAGCTGTGTTTCACATTGTATGAACCACTCACATAAGCATTTAATTCACTCATTGTAAATTGAGCTACATAAAGATGATGTAATAATTAGGTCTGAAACAGATGGAAGTCCTACTTTAGATAATACACTCACTAAAATAGCATTTGCTGGCTTCCTTCAATTCTATACATTTTAGTCTGTAAAGCTGTACTTCTGATCAGATGACAGTTGCTGAAAATAATAGAATAGGCAAGGTTTGCAGAAATTTTTCTGAGACAGGAGATCATAATTTTTTTTCAGCACTGCATTTATTTAGGCATTGCTGTATATACGTAGAACACTGAGTACAATTTCTTGGTTGTGATTCTAGGAAAATATAGTGAAGGAGTAGCAATCTCATGGAAACAAATTTAAATTTTTCCACTGAGTGTCAGTGAGTATGACTTTACCTCATAAAGACCTAAGGACTGTGAGAGGGTCTTGGCTGGGCAAAGATCAGCCCCATGGGTGATCTGGTCCTTGCTTACCCTTGATTATGTAAAGAACAAGACTGTGCACACACAGGGAGGATGGAACACTCTGCCCAGATAGCCACACATGCAAAGGTAAGTTCTCTGTTTCAGATGGACCACCAGCATCCCTGTAAGAGGAAAAGGTTCTTTAGCTCTGTTTCTGGTGCTCATTCTTGTGAGAGCCCAATTAAGCAAAGTTTCTGCTGTTTTCAGCTCCTCTGGACACGAACAAGAGGTGGTATCCAATCTGCCATAGCAGAACTTCACCTGGGAGAAAACTGGAACCTAATGCAGGACTGTGCAGAGCAGGCATTGCCTCATAAGGAGTGTTCAGGTAAACTCAGCTTCTGCAGGTTTCAGTGACAAGGAGGAAAATACTGGGTGTATGACAAAGGTATCAGGTATTGTAAATGCTGCAGAATAAAATTGGTCATGGTACATTTGCCATTTCTATGTGCTAAACTCTAGGGATATAGGGACATGCCAGTGTTTGTGACAGCATTGTATGGCAGTGGATAGTGTGCTCAGATCCTGGAATCTGGATTATTTTCAGAGTGAATGTATGTCTGACCTCTGTTCTAAAATATTTTAAATAGGAAGAAACCACCTGGATTTTCTGACCATCTACATGTCTATTTTCCTTCAGCATGGGAAAGACATGGACTTGTTGCAGCAGGTCCAGAGGAGGGCCACACAGATTATCAAGTGTCTGGAGTACCTCTCCAGGCTGAGACAGCTGGAGTTGTTAAGCCTGGAGAAGGGGAAGCTCCAGGGGGACATGGTACCTTCCAGTACCTAAAGGGGCCTGCAAGAAAGATGGGTGAAAAACTTTTTAGCTGGTCCTATTGTGATAGAACAGGGGGCAATGGTATTAAACTGTAGGAGGGTTGATTTAGAGTAGTTATAAGTAACAATTTTTTTACAATGAAGGTGGTAAAACACTGGAACACTAGACACATGGTGGATACCCCGTCTGTGGAGAAATCCATGGACAGGTTGGATGGTGCTCTGAGCAACCTAATTAGTTGAAGATGTCCCTGTTCACTGCAAGAGGACTTGTATGAGATGACCTTAAAAGTTGCTTCCAACCTAAACTATCCTATGATGTTATCTCTGTCCTACTGATGGCCAGTTGTGCCTCACACAGTTCCACTTGCTGTGAGGTAACATTTTAATATTTACACATGGTGCTGCTTACAGCCGCAACAGCACAACTCAGTCAAGACTTGGGGAAAACTGAAAGTGTTGCAAGGATTTGTTTGGAAAATATATCAGTGTTTGTAAAATCAGTGTGCTGAGGTTTTATGCTGATGTTGTTTCAGTGTTGGCTGGTTCAGGCAGGTAAGGCTGAAAAAACCCCTCTTTGGATCTATAATCCCAGTTCTTTAACAAAGGGCTCTCTGCTCCAGGGAGTGCAGTCATGTTTCAGAGCATTGCTCAGACTCAGTATGGATGAGAACAGATTAAAGAAACAGTTAGCATTAATACCCCTCAATTTAATCAGCACAGAGTCACCCAGCTGTGTCTGGGCAGCCCTCACTTGCTCCCTGGAGGCCCAGTCCAGCACTATGAGCACACGTACTTGTGTTTTGCCAAACAAACCTCAGTCTGTGCTTGCAAAATGTCCTCCACAGGGATGCAAGTCTAAATCACATAGATGCATAGAAAATGGCTCCATGAGTGGTTAGTTCAAATCTAAGGATTTTAAAAGCAGGATATGGTGGTTTTGTTCATTTGATGAAACATTCAGCATTTATTTATTATTATGAGCAAACACCAGCAGATTATAATTACTATTTTCTTTTCCTATTACTCTGGCAACCCGAAAACACTACAGAGAAAACCTGTCTTTGGCTCAAAAAGCTTACAAACCAAGCACAAGGCAAGAGATAGTAGATAAAATTGACAGAAGTGTCAAAGTTGTGTCAGAAGTGATATTAATAAATAGATGCCTTATTTTAATTTTGTTGTTAAAAAGGAAAAAAGGAAATAAAATCTCAGGACTGAACATAGTATTGCATCTGACCCCAAAAGTAAGCTTGTTATAAGTGCCTGAAAAAATGGAAAGGAAATGAGGAGCTGGATTTTTCACAGAGTTGTTATAAATTCCAGAGTTGGTATCTCTCTTATCCAATGACTCACAAATAGGCATCTTCTGTTGAGACTGTTGTCTCCCAGGAGGAGAAGAGCACAAACACACTGTGAGGCTTTGTAGTGTTTTAAGTTTGGGACAAGGGTGTTATTTATAAGAGGGCCTGAAATCAGACATCCAGGTCATGCCAAAGAAGTTTTCACGCATCCTGTGTGCTAGTCCATAGCACTTCTGCTGTATTTGTGATGCATGTGCCGTAAAAAAAAGTACTTTGTGTAAGCTTCAAAAAACAGTTTTCTTTACTGCTGGCCTTTATTTTCACCTGTCAGTCATGCTGCTAACTGCAGGCAGAAGCTTCTTTAGCATACTGCAGAGATGTGTCCCTTTGTTCAGTTTACAGATTCTTCACCAAGGACTTGTTTGTTATTTGGCATTATTAAGCAGCTGATTTTGCAGGAGTACATTCGAGCCATGGATTGTTTGCCAGCAGTTTGTAATAAGCCAAGAATGAGCAACAACATATAATCAAATCCATTATGACTACATTAAGATTACAGTAGAGAAAGGAAATTGAACAAACAAAAGTATTGCAAAAGTGCAGCTAAGAACAATGAAGATATCTGAGCAATGTTGTAAACACTTATTACTACTTACATAAGGTCCACATGTCTGTGTACTCTCAAGCCTCAGACTGAGCAGACTTTCCTTTTAAGGCTGTGCTCAGATAAGGTCAACCTCTGTTAATATGGAATCATATCAAATACAATTTTTTTTTCTCAGCAGCTCTCTTGGAAAAACTGAAACCATTCCTTAAGTGGCCAAACTCTCCCTTCAGTCCTGAAAATTTTTATTATTGAAAAAACAAGAGAAATTCAGGTAAGATGATAAAATTCCAGAGGAATATATCAACCTTAGGGAAAATAAATATTTTATACAGACAAATCTAAAATTTAAAAGAAGATAGTAAATACCATACATAATGGAGAGCCAGTATTTAAGATGCATTAATACAGATACATTTGTCAATGCAGAAAACAGGTAATAAAGTAGGTGTAGTGTCAGCTCAGGCCTGAATGGTCACCTTCTTCTTGATGTGAGGAAGGAATGGAAGGCAGAAAAAGTAAATACAGGCCAGTAGCAGGGAGGAGGTAGTGCACCAGATTCTACAGAAGGCAAATGGGAATAGTTTTGTAAGTCAAATGTGTTTTCCAGTTCTCCCTTTTATGACATTTGCTGTGGGAGAGGCGTTGGAGGTGGCTGACAACAGCAGCCGTCTGCCCTGCACACACCACACGCTGCTGGCCAGCCCACGCACTGCCAGCAGCTCTGACTTGCCACAGCACAAACAGGAGGGGCACTTGCAGCAAATGCAAGGTCCAACCAGCCAGAGAGACATCCTGGCTGCAGAAAAGCATAGTTTTTAATGGAATGGTCTCATGCAGTATCTGTTATTTCCTGACAGACCAAAAAGTCTGTCTTTCCCTGCCAGCATCTTCTGCTGAAAATTTTAATAGCAGATTTAGGATTATTTGGCCATTAAGTGGATTGAGACTTAGCTCAATCAGCTACTCTGCCATTAAGATCAGTGGCTTTCCTGGGATTGAATTTAGCTAGAAAATAATTATTCACTGTGTTCTCAGAAGGAAAGATTGTATTTCAGTATTTTGGTAGAGAAGACTGCTGAGGCATAACGAGAACACAGAGAAAGAAAATATATAGCATGCTGTGCAAATGATATGGTCCTTCTTTCTTCTCTGCATAATTCAGTCTTTGCCAGATTTTAGCAGACAGGCTGCACTCAGTTTGCCTTTCAGAAGCTGATGACTGGAAATGCCAGCTCTCCCCCATTTCCCTGCAGTAGGGGAAACATGCACCCCCAAGCATAGCAAATGATTTCCTCAGAAGGGAGACTCTCAGTAGCTAGAAATCATTACTTTACCCCAGGTTTCCTCTCTGATCATTTTGTCATTTGAGCTTAGCATTGTAGGATTAAAACAGGAACTAGCTGCAGGAAGTACAGGTAAATTAAGCTTATTGAGACTGAAGAGATGATCTCTTCTGCTCAGTACATTTACGCTGAAATAAAAAGCTGGTAGGAAGCAGTCATGGATCTGTCCCACTAGGACAGATCTGCTTGTATCAGGGGTGGCGGGGGAGAGAGCATTTCTACCCTCTCTCTGCAGGGCTTTCTGCTCTCATGTAACTAGGCAGTAAAAATAAGTTGGAGGGGAATTCTTATTCTTCTTAGGCACAGCCCTCTTTGATTACAGCCAGCATTATCACTGCCTTCTGGGAATTAAGTCAATGCCTTTGTAAATTAAATCATGGGGAGGGTTGCTGGTTTTCCAGAAGTTCAAGATCTGAAATGCCTTTTGGGCTTCACAGAAAGAAAACCACTGAGCTTTTCTTCACACCCAGAAAATGGCACAATTGTGACCTTTTTTTCAGGGTAAGCCCTGAGCAGATCAGCTAAGAGCATAGGGCTGAGTTGCCTTGGAGAGAGGCTCTGTTGGTAAACTCTGCAAGGGGAAGGGAAAGCCATCAGCAGTCTAATGGGTCAGCAGTTGGCCCCAAAGGGAGGTGGTGGACTTTTGGCTATCTGCAACGCAAAATCCTGCTTGGCCACACAAAATCTGTAGCTTGCACAAGCCCAACACAGCAGCATAGCACCTGTCCAGTGTACACCTGAGCCGTATTTTGAGTGTGGGGCTGAGCTCTATTCACCCATTAAAAAGCATCTGGGCACAGGTCCTTTGTGCAGAGCAGAGATGCAGGGACCGGACGAGTAAAGCCCAGGACTGAGCCATCCCCTGCCTCGGTGTGATCCGAACATGAGCAGCAGCCAAAGCTGTCATCACTTATTCCATGCCTGTGGGAAGCACTGGGTATCTGGTGTCTGGTAGGGTGCCTACAGAGACCCAGGTTTGCTGGCTGCAGAAGCACAGAGGTGAACTAAAGGCGTTATGACAAATGGGCACTGGAGATTATGGGGCTTCTTGCCCATGCACTAGCCCACACTGCTGTGCTCTGTGACTCCTTTACCGTGTATTCAGATAATATTTGTATTCCTGATGCTCTATAAATTAGATTAAAACCAAATAGATAAAGCCTGCTTTATTTTATAGGATTTATCTATTTATAGGATCAGGTTACATGAGGCATCTGTGCCAGTATCCTGCTCTGAGATCAGGTGCTCTGAAAAACAGGTTCACAAGACTCAGTAAGTGACATGTAAATGAATAAATTTCTCCCTAACCCTCTCTCACAGAGATTTTGTTCAGATTCAAACTGGCTACATTTAGAGGCATTCAGAATTCCTTTTTTTTTTCAAGGGAGAGAAAAGCTTTTGTATAAAATTAAAAGAGCAACTAGTTAATGAAACATTTTTATGATGAAAAATAATTTGTACTTATGTATGTGCATTTGTTTTGGTGAAAATTCAGCATCATCCTACACTCATTTACCTTGACATTGGCATATACACATACCAAATATTTGCTCAGTTTCCCCCATAATTTAATATAGAGATCTCTAAGTATCCCTTTCTTGGTATGCCCTCTCTTCCCCTCTCTCATATCACTTCAATAAATAGCCAAAATCCACAGGAATATAATGGTGTTGTACAATAATTTGAAATGTGAAAAGAAGTGAGAGAAAAACAGTTTCCCTCATGCAAAGTTGTGAGGGATAAAATGAAGGCTCATCAGCTCTGTGTAAAGAAGCAGAGATTCAGGTCAGGTATAAACCTTCTCCAGTAGATCAGGCTGTGGAATTAACCACCTGAAAAGATCACTGAGTCACATCAAAGGAGGGATTGTGGAGCTGGAGGCTGTGGAAATTGCATTGGCATTAGGATGCAGCGACAGAGCCCCAGTAAGGCTGGCTCAGCTGCCTGACCCTGCCATCTCCACCTGGGGGTCAGTTTTTATTTCATGCACAATTAAATGTGACTTTTGCCTTATCTGGATGTAACAAGCTTGTTGTGCAGCTCGAGGTGTCCCTCGAGTGAAGTCTCAAGCTATGGTTAAGCTTATCCAGCCTCCAACAGACGGGGAGAGAGATGACTTTGTCCCAGCTCCCAGGGCTTTGCACTCTCTGGGCACCGTGGAGGGCCAGGAGAGCTCCCTTGTGGGCAGGGCTGGCAGCAGTGGAGGGAGGAATAACAGCTCTGGCTCACACCTGCAGCAGGTGAGACATGAGACCAACAGTATCACACAGAGCTGTGCCCCACACCACTGCTGTTTGTGTTGACCACCAGTTAATGAGCTGGAGAGAGCAAATAGCAGAGACATGTGGAAAACAGCTGGCTTGGTATGGCTGTGAGCATATCAAGCACAAACACTGATCTGTCACTGCCCTTTCCAGACTGACCAGTTCACCAGGTGCCAGCAGCCAGTGCCAGTGGGAGGAGGATTCTTGCTCCACCACCAGCAGCCGGACCTGCACTGGGCTGGGACAAGGAGTCCCTTGTCAGAGCAGACAGTGCCAAGGGCTCTACATGTTTATGTGCTATGTATTATAAACTGTGCTCCTCTTACTCTAATTTCCTTCAATTTTTTTTTCCTGCTGTGGCTTTCTCACTTCCATGATGGTACCATATTCCCAGTGAAACTGGCAGTTGCTCATCACTGGGATCAAGGGGAAAAAGTCCCTGGTCACGGTAATGGTATTCAGTCACCCTTACTGAGCTGTAGTGTGATGTCTTTTACTTCCCTGGCCTTTTTTCAAGCGAACATTGACTTCACTGAATCACAAAATCACAGAGTGGGTCATGTTGGAAAGGACTGAAGTGGGGTCATTGGGTCCAGCCTCTTTGGTCAGGTAGGGTTGTCCTAGAGCAGGTGGCACAACTTTTCTGGTCAGCCTCTCAGTAGCTTCATGGTTCCCTCCAATATTGGATCAGGGTGCACTTGAATATCAGTAACAGACTGTGCTACACATAGCAGCTCAATACAGCAGTTTGGAAGCAGTTTGGAACTAAAAAACCCCAACCCATGCTGAGTTTATCTGTCATGGAGATGCACAGGGGCAGTGTGCAGTGGCTCCTTCTGGGAGCCTTCAGGCTGCAATGAGAGAGCTGTGTCTGGGTGCAGTCAGCATCACTCTGACACAAGCTAAACCTGGCATTTCATCCTGGCTGCTCTCAGTGACACTGTCCCATCCCCAGTGTAAGGCAGCACAACTGGTGCCTGTCCTAAGCAGGTTTTGAAAGCAAAGGCAGGGAAAAGGGTGTCTGCAGGCCCCCCACCTCAGGATTTCTGCTCCTGGTGTCTCGCAGCAGGACAATTGCAACAATCTTTTACCTCTATCTGGTATGTGCCTGAGCTACTCCACTGGTCTCTGCGTGTGGATAATGAAATCTTTACTTGTTTCCATGAATTGCAGAGAGAGTCTTGAACAATTGTCAGCTAGTCACCAGCCAAATGTAACTGAAGTTATGTAAGGTGAACGATATAAAAGAAATAGTTATTTACAAAAGCACAGGAGATGGTACCACTTAAAACTTTTAAAAGTAGCAGAACTGTTTTTAGACTGCTGCCAATGAAGTTTTCCAAACTAATGCCCCAAGGACTATGAATATTTTAAACAGAGTTCTTAAAGAATGCCTCTCTTTTTCAAATCCATTAAGTATTTTACCACAGAGGTGAACAGAAAGGCAAGCCTTGCAGGTTGAGTACATCTGAAATGGAGGTTTGTAATGAGGGTAGTGGGTTCCTAATCTGTGTGTCAGGTTGCTTAAGGTTTGTTTTTGAGAGAGGCACCAATGTGTACACAGTTGACAAGGAGGGTGTAGAAGGCTGTAATCTGTGCAATCATGTGTAATCCTGTGCTCTGTGCATTACCAGGTGCTATCCTTCTGCTTAGGGATG